TTTCCCTTCTAATTAATATTACCCTTTCGTTCCTTTTTCACTGTCCAAACATACCCTAATGCTTCCCGCCCTTCAACATTAACCCCACCACATGACTAGTTGCATCCCACTTCTCCTCTCTCTTTATCTTTTTTGTTTTTCTTATCTTTTTCTCGTTTATTGAACCAAAAAGCAACAGTCCACTGTGAAATTTCTCTATAATTGTCTGACCCGGTTCCCACTCTCTTGGCGAAACATGGTGGGTCAAACTAGTAGTGATACTAATAATTTAAGGGGTGTACAACTGCCTTTCTCTTATTTAATTCTCCGTACTCCACTCCTCTCAATTCTCAACTTGTTTTCTTATTAGACTGTTCTTCAAATTTAAATTCATCTTTTCATAAATACTCATAAAATTTTTAAAAAAAATTGGTAACTTTATTAAATATATATTTCATACTTGAAAGACTAATTTAATAATTTTAAAAGAAAGCATACATTAATTTTATATTTTGTTCAAAAATTCTACCCTCCATACCGACAACTAATATGTGGGATTTGATCAATTTAATTACTAATTTTCAACCTCAACTTGGTTATGTTATAGATTTTCTTCACAAAAAGAAGTAAAGAGTTAGTTGCTGGTTTTATATACACCGTTCATGTAGTTGCTATTGGGAATGAGATTAAAAAAAGGTTCTGCATTCAAGGAAAACATATGCATTACAGATCTATATTTCCTTCACAATAATAGCAAAACTTGTTCTCTGCTTTGAGGGCGAATAAAAGCGCGCGCGCACACACATAACAAAAATGAATAATGTATAATTGAAACTCGAGCAATCATCACTAGAAACAAAGTGAGAACAATTTTATAAAAACACTCAGAAAAAAATAAATTATAATTAAATTACAGCATACGTAGCTAGCTAGCTAGCTAGCTAACTAGCTTAGAGATCAATACAAACACGCATGATTGATGCACGACTAGATACAAGTGATATATCTTACGTGTTCCTTGCAGACGATTTTGCATAAATATACTAAAGTTAGCTTCACCCGCGGCACTTGTTATACGTTTTGCAATTATCTATTGGTTTTGCGTTTGGTGGAGGGACACAAGGTGCATATTTTCCTTTACCACACTTTGCGCCACCGAAGGCTTTAGATGGATCAAGAGTCGATGGTGTCTTTGCTTCTTCTAGCATTGGTCCGATTATAACATCATAATCCATTGAAAAGTAAAGCAGCAGCTGCTCATCTTCCTCCATCAGGCATTCGCTAATGCTGCCGTTGCAGCTCTTGTTATGTGGTGCACTGGTAGATCCACACACAACTGCGCTCATCAGTATTTACCATTACCACAAAGAGTAGTGGCAATGGACACCCTTTCTTCACACAACTAAACAACATTTCACCACTCAATTTCTTGGTCTCTTCACAAAATACATATGCTACCACTTACCAGCCTCAGAGTTCCATGATTTATATAGGAATTGAAAAAGCAGGTTCTAATTCCTAGAGTGAGAATAATTTTTTAGCTACTTAAAGTGAATTATTTGACCTACAAGTTTTAATTGGTCATGTATTCAGAATATAAGAAAGTAAGACTTTCCACTTACTTATATTAGATAAAAATGGCCAATCAAAAATTCAAATAATTCACTTTGAGATTTCAGTCCAAGTAACACCACACTTCAATACATTTCAAATGGCAAAAAAATAAAAAATAAAAATAAAAAATAATTAAAAAAATAATAAAAAAAAAAACCTTCCACTTGTAACTAGTCATGTGGTGGGGTTGATGCTGGATGATTAATGGTTCCCGTTCTTCCTTCCAACTTCAATTATTGGTACTAAAAAATAAACCTTCCACTTGTAACTAGTCATGTGGTGGGGTTGATGCTGGATGATTAATGGTTCTCGTTCTTCCTTCCAACTTCAATTATTGGTACTATATAATGTTAAAAGTATTTCCCACCTTTTTATCTTTTCATTTTTGTCATCTTGTAATCAAACAAACAGCCCCTTGAGTAGCAGGTACATGCACCCTTACCCAACCAACCACAACTTAGTCATGATAGTTTTTAAATGAGGAAAGGGAGAGAAGTTATGATGAACTACCATGCATGGTGCGCCCAATAATAATTGATGTCTAAGTTCGTCCACTGTAATTTCCGAGTAGAATCACAAGATTTTTAAATTCTGCTGTATCTAATATGGATCTCCAACAAAATCATCTCTTTATATATTTATTTATTTTTTATATCATGACAAACAAAAACTAATGTTCTTTTGCTTTATTGTGAAAAGATTCAACTTTCTCTAGAGAATTGTTAGTATAACTGAGAGGAAAAAGAAAGCAATTGCATTTTTCAGCCGAAAAAAAGAAACAAAATGTTAATATTAGTTAAGAGAAAGATAAAAGTGCTAAAAAACAAAACAAAACAAAAAAAAAAAAAAAAATGCTACGTACAAAATGTGCAATAAATACCTCAGATTTTAAAAAGTGTATATAAATTCTTGTATTTTAAAATTTTGTAAAAAATTATCCAGTGGTCAACAATTTTGACCATTTATATATATATAAACTCCATAATATCCCAATACTCCAATTTTTTTATAAAGTCCCGATTTTTTTTTTTTTTTATATATATAAATTCAAAATTTTTGAAATAATTGTTTATTATTATTTTTTTAATGGCTTTTTAGGTATTTCAGTCTTCAAATTAAAGAATTGTCTTTATTTGCTCAATTTGAAAAATGTAAAGAATTTTTTTTAATACCAGGGAATATTTGCACATTCTGTGTATTGTAGGGGAGTTTTTTTTACACTTTACCGTTAAAGAGAGAAAAATGAAAAAAGAAAATAATAGTAATCATTCTTAATTGTATTTTGAAAAATTAATAAATAGAAAAGATAGAAATTATTTGTTCAAATTTTTTTTTCATAATTGATACACACACCCCCTCCCGGAAATAATTATTTGCGAGGAAGAGAAATAAAATTTTAAACTTGATGCTTCTGAAGCATCAAAGTTAAGTGACTTGAGCCAACCCCTTACAATTTGATTTGTTCAATTTTACTGGTAACAAGGGTTTAAAAAAAATAAAAACTTTTTACAAAAAGTAAGAGCAAGATGGGTAATTACTAATATTAACTCCTTATCCTTTCCATCCCTTTTTTTACAACTATTAGAGACTGATATTGAACCTCTCTTCAAATTCTTCATTTTCCAGCATGTTTGTAAAACAAACACAAATTAAACTGTCATTCCCTTTCTTTACTTTTTGTTTCCATCAATCCAAATGAGTTTGAGATTTGCTCCCCATAAATTTCTTGGTCTCCTCACAAAATACATATTCTACCAGCCTCAGAGTTCCATGATTTATATAGGAATTGAAAAAGCAGGTTCTAGTTCCAATAGTAAAAATAATTCTTTAGCTACCTAAATGAATTGTTTAACCTTGGAGTTTTAATTAGTTCTGTATTCAAAATATAAGAAAGTAAAATCTTCCACTTACTTATATTAGGTAAAAATAACCAATCAAAAACTCAAATAATTTACTTTGAGATTTCAGTCCAAATATCTCTTAACTAATTATATAGGAATTGAAAAAGCAGGTTGTAGTTCCAATAGTAAAAATAATTGTTTAGCTACCTAAATGAATTGTTTAACCTTGGAGTTTTAATTAGTTCTGTATTCAAAATATAAGAAAGTAAGATCTTCCACTTACTTATATTAGGTAAAAATGACCAATCAAAAACTCAAATAATTTACTTTGAGATTTCAGTCCAAATATCTCTGAACTAATTATATAGGAATTGAAAAAGCAGGTTCTAGTTCCAATAGTAAAAATAATTCTTTAGCTACCTAAATGAATTGTTTAACCTTGGAGTTTTAATTAGTTCTGTATTCCAAATATAAGAAAGTAAGATCTTCCACTTACTTATATTAGATAAAAATGACCAATCAAAAACTCAAATAATTTACTTTGAGATTTCAGTCCAAATATCTCTGAACTAATTATATAGGAATTGAAAAAGCAGGTTCTAGTTCCAATAGTAAAAATAATTCTTTAGCTACCTAAATGAATTGTTTAACCTTGGAGTTTTAATTAGTTCTGTATTCAAAATATAAGAAAGTAAGATCTTCCACTTACTTATATTAGGTAAAAATGACCAATCAAAAACTCAAATAGTTTACTTTGAGATTTCAGTCCAAATAGTTTACTTTGAGATTTCAGTCCAAATATCACTACGCTTCCAACACATATCAAATGGCAAATTGAAAAAAAAAAAAAAAAAAAAAAAACTTCCACCTGTAACTTAATCAAACTCCTCTGTCAAAATTTTTTTGCACAAAATTCCCCATTTAACAAGGGGTAACGAAATCAAACGTTGGTTTACTACAAGCAGTGTGTTTTTTTGTATATGTATCGTCATATGCAACCCTCGCTTAAACAAAACACCGTATAAAAAACATCAATACTTCTATTTCTATGTGTAACCACAGAACACTTAAAATGTTGGTAGAAGAATTAGACCTAATTTTTTTACCAGTAATTCTCATGCATAATTCTCCTACGTTTGTGCTTAATTCATTGACACTTGAAATAAAACTCTATAAAATAACACTAATACAATTCACTACAGTTTATACACACAATACACTACAAACTCATTAGCAATTGTTTTAATAATAAAAAAAACAAACACTAGAATCAGCAGCAGAAATTGGCCCTTAATTAACAAGAGAAGTAAAGGCAGGGCCGACCAAGTTTTGTGTCTGAATATAGTAGATAGATATGTATTTGTTATATAATCAGGAAAATGATGACATATCTCCAAAACATGAACAACCATATATCACTAGAATCAGCGACAGAAAGATTCTAGTATTATTTAAATAAACAATGCATAATACCTGGTTTCAAATCTAACAAATTAAGAAAGACAAGTGATGTTACTAAATATTTTGCCATTTGATTTCCTCATCTGCCCTTGCTTCTTGTTATAGCTAGGAACCGCCTAGGCGACACTTCTGGTAAGGTTGGCACCTATTATTGACTTTTCCGTTTGCATCAGGAAGGCAACTTCCATAATTTCTGTCACAATTTGCGCCTAAGAGTGCACCTGGATTAATGGTCATTGTAGTCACTCCTCTCCCATTCCCGGCAAGTAGCCTTCTACTTATTTCTGGATCCATTGGAAGCTCCAGCTCTTCATCCACGCGGCATTCGCCAACACTACCATTGCAGGACTGTAACTCGAACGTCTTATGTGAGGTAGAGGTAGCTTCACATACAATTGTAACCAGTATTACCACCAGGAATGCTAATGAACACCATCCTTTCTTCACAAATAATGAAAGCACCATTTTTACTTACTACTCCAACCCAATTCACCACTCTATTTCTTTCGCCAAACAATCGGCCAAGCAGTACCAGTCTTTTTGGAGTAATTTATTATAAAATTGAAACATTAGCTTCCGATATCAAATGAATGGTCCTCGTTACTGCCACCAACTTGTTTAATTATTGCTATTCTTTGAAAACTATGTCTTCCCACTTTCTCTTCTTTTCAATTTTGTTTTTACTCTTAAATGTCTTATTATTTGTTTACATGCAAAAGCCTTTTCAATTGTTCTCATATTTCCTCCCAAAAATTTTAAGGGCATATATATTTGAAAATAAATACGAGAATCAAGCAAACGCCCGTGAGTAGCAGGTACATCATTGTCTCCCAACTAATTTGGCGGAAGACCCCGTGAACAGAAAAAATAAAACAAAAATGTTCAAACATGTGTATCCCATGATTATTAAAAGCTGAAATTTGGTGCTCCCCAGAAACATGTGTATCGATTCAAATAAGCTGAAATTTGGTGCTCCCCATAAACTAATTTTCCTTGAGCAAATAAAATAATGACACGATAGGTCTTTGGTGACTCGATCGTCTCTGTTCGGATATGTGTGTCTTAGCATAACAAATTCTAATTTTAAATTGTAAAAGTCATGATTTCTTATCTGGATATTATTATTAAAGCATTATACAATTGGTGAATGGAATGTATTATTTTTCGATTCATTATGGAATTGGTTGTGTCTACTTGATTACAAAATATATTTATATATGTATGTAATAGCAATTAATATTATGTTATAAATTAGTAATCATAAATGGTTTAAAGTCGGTAATTATGGATGGATATTTAATTAGTTAAGACTTAAACCGAGTCCACGATAGATTGAGATATATTGTGAGAGCTGTCGTATGCAATTGCTCTCTATCACAGTCATGGCTTTTGACTCTTAAGCATGAGAAAAGTATAGACTCTTTTATTAATTAATAATTATTTTGATTTGTTCGGCAAATACCTCGGAATTCTTAGATCGACACTTTGGGTAGTTATGTAATTAATAGTTAGAGGTTTACATTCTCAATATTTGCATCAGTGCTATTTGTATTTATTTTGTTTTGATTATGGTTGATCACAAATTAAATTCGAAGGCTTTCGTATGTTTTAGACAAATGTTTTCTATATATATTTATTTAATAAATTAATATTTTTTGTCAAATAAATATTTTATTATGATCGAGCCAGAAATAATCAAAGGTAACAAAATAATTATATTAATTATGTTGTCGGATTGATGGCTTTAATTATTCGATAAATAATTAAGCATAGAGGGGTCAAAGTGCAACAATGACTTAAAGGTTATTTACTATTTAATTGGAGTGCAATTAATTTCTTTTAGTGGAGTAGAAATTAATTTATGAATTAATTGAATTGGGTCCATGGTTTAATGGACCGGACCAATTATTAATTTATAGGAGCCAAGAAAATAGTAAGTCCAAAAGGATTCTCACCAATAGGCTAAGTTGATATTGGAGTCATGTTAGAATTGAGAAAGTTGAATTAGAGATGGAGAATGATTTATTATTTCCTTATTCTTATTTTTATTTTGCCTATATATACATGACTTCATGTATATTTTAGGTGTGACTTTTAAAATAAGAAAAAGGAATACACTTTCTTTCTCTAGATTTTAGGGTTTTGTTTTCTCTTCTAAAGGAGGCTACAACAAGCTTAGATTCCAAGGTCATTCATCAAGGCATATTGGTGATTCCTAAAGGAAGATTATAATCAAGAAGAAGGAGAAAAGATATTGCTAAAGGGATTTACAATAAGTGAGAACATTCACTTTAGAGGAAAGATTTACTCAGACCTTTGATATAAGTATTCAATCTGTTTATTGAATTATACATCATCTTTTACTTGTCTTTGTATAAAACTTGTATGTGATAAATCAAGATCTATAATTGCAAATTCCTCAAAAATTTTAAAAACTTGCACGTTTTTCAACAGTCCCAACATTCAACAATAATTCAAATCAAACTGCTCAAACATGTGTATCCCATGATCATTAAAAGCACTATTACAATCCATACATCAAATCATATGTTACCTACATTCATGAGATTACAATAATGTTTGATTGAAACTAACATGAACAACCATCACTAGAATCAACAGCAGAACGGTTCAATTATTTAAATAATTAAACACAACACAATACCTGGATTAAAAATCAACAAATTAAGACAGACAAGTGGTATATGCTTCTTGAATTTGCCATTTGATTCGACACATAACGCTTCTTATTATAGTTACTGCATCACCACCAAGCAATTCAAGATTTTGCATGGCGTGAGTGGGCTAGGAATTGCCAAGGCGACACATCTGATAAGGTTGGCACCTATGATTGACTTCTCCGTTTGAACCAGGAAGGCAACTTCCATAATTTCTAGCACAATGCGCGCCTACAGCTGCACCTGGATTTAACGAGTTTCCAGTCTGTCCTCCGCCATTCTCGGGGAGTAGCCTTCTACTTATTTCAGGATCCATTGGAAGCACCAGCTCTTCGTCCATGCCACATTCGCCAATGGTCCCATTGCAGGAGGACTGTGACTTCAAATTGATGGTCTTCTCATACGATGAGATAGAGATAGAGATAGAGATAGAGAAAGCTCCACATACAATTGTGCCCAGTATTACCACAAGGAATGCTAATGAACACCCTTTCTTCACAAATATTGGAAGCACCATTTTAATTCACCACTCTATTCTTTCAGCAAGTACTTGGACAACTCCAGGCTTCAGAGTGTACTTTTATAATTGAATCGTTGTCTTTTAATTGGATGATTAGTGAAGGGTTTTCATTCCTCCACTTTTTTATACTTTCATTTTTGTCATCTTGTAATCAAACAAACAGCCCCCTGAGTAGTAGGTATATATCAATATCATGGACCCCTCCCAACCAGCCACAACTTAGTCATGATAATTTATAAATGAGGAAAAGGATCAGTTATGATGAAGTACCATATATGCCACTGCAATTTCCAATTAGAATCACAAGATTTTTAAGTTCTGCAGTATCTAATATGGATCACGGACAAAATCATCTCTTTATTTTTTTTTACTTTTGATATCATCACAAACAAAAATTAATGTTCTTTTGCTTTATTGTGAAAAGATTCAACTTTCTCTAGAGAGTTGTTAGTATAACTCTGAGGAAAAAGAAAGCAATTGCACTTTTCAGCAGCAAAAAAAAAAGAAAAAAAGAAAAAGAAAAAAAAAGAAGATAATATTAGTTAAGAGAATGGTAAAGTGCAAAATAAATAAATATGCTATATACAAATTGTGTAAGAAATATCTCTATATAAATTCTTGTATTTAAAATTTTGTAACTAATTATCCGGTGGTCAACAATTTTGATCTATATATATAAACTCCGTAATATCCCAATACTCCAATTTTTTTTTATAAAATCCGTAGTTTTTTTTATATAAAAATTCAAAAATTTTGAAATAAGTGATTATTATTATTATTTTTTAATAGTATTTTAGATATTTCAGTCTTCAAATTAAAGAATTGTCTTTATTTGCTCAATTTGAAAAATGTAGGCAATTTTTTTTTTTTTTTTAATACCAGGGAATATTTGCACATTTTGTATGTTGTAGGGGAGTTTTTATTACACTGTAAAAGAGAGAAAAATGAAGAAAGAAAATAATAGTATAATTCTTGATTGCATTTTGAAAAATTAATAAATAGAAAGGATATAAATTATTTGTTCAATTTTTTTTTTTTTTTTTTTTTTTTTTTTTTTTTCCCTAATTGATACCTACACACCCCTTCCCTAATATAATTGTTTGAACGCCGCAAGAGAAATAAAATTTTAAACTTGACGTCTTAGGCATCAAAATTAAGTGACTTGACCCAACCCTTGCAATTTGATTTGTTCAATTTTAAGGGGTGACAAGGGTTAAAAAAATAATAATAATAATATATATATATATATATATATATATATATATATATATATAAATTTACAAAAAGTAAGAGCAAGATGGGTAATTATTAATATTATTAACTCCTTATCCGTTGAAGGATAAGAAACTGATATTGAACCTCTCTTCAAATTCTTTCATTTCCCAACAAATTTGTAAAACAAACACAAATTAAACTATCATCCTCTTTCTTTACTTTTTGTTTCCATCAATCCAAATGAGTTTGAGATTTGCTCCCCCATACATTAATTTTCCTTAAGCAGATAAATTAAGGTCTGGTTGGATATACAACAAATTAAACTGTCCCAACAACAATGTTTGAATGAAATGTGAAGAAGCATCACTAGAATCAGCGACAGAATGATTCTATTTATATTATTTAAATACACAGTACATGATACCTAGACTAAAATCAACAAAAAATGAAGAATGACAAGTGATGTGTGTGTGTGTGTATATTTCTTGAATTTGCCATTTGATTCTTTCATCTGCCCCCCTTCTCCTTATAGTCACCGCATCACCACCAAACTCTGACTAGGAATAGTCTTGTCGACACTTCTGGTTTTCGTGGTACCGATCATCAACTTTTCCGTTTTTCTTCTTTTCAGTTTTTTGTCAGTCTGTCTAGGAAAGAATTATTTAGTTGTCTGTCTCAAATTTATTAATGGAGATTACACCTTGGCAGGTGTACAAACGGAAACGAAAGTCAAAGTACTCCATCGCCATTCATGCATGCGCATGTTCACTAATTATCGTCTGTGTTACTTGGACTCTCCATAATTGACGGGAGTGTCCGTGTCGACACGACACAACACGACACGAGCCATCGCCATTCATGCATGCGCATGTTCACTAATTATTGTCTGTGTTACTTGGACTCTCCATAATTGACGGGAGTGTCCGTGTCGACACGACACAACACGACACGAGACTCGTGTCGAACATTTTATTTTTGAATAGGACACCTTACGAAGCTCCCTAATTCTGATTTGAAGTCGTGGTTATCTCTGGTTTGAAGTTTACAAAGGT